ATAAAGCTATTCGAGCTTATAACTTGTCCATAACATGCTAAATACTTGTGTAGTTACACTAAGTTTTTCTTAGAAATTGAAGATGCATTTGATAATGCAAATCAGATACGTACAGTACGTACGTACGTATGTATTATGAGAATTATAGTAAATCGATACTGTATATGTTATATATGCGATTTTATTATATGTTTGATAAAAAAAAATATATTTTTATAAAATTGAGACTATTAGCTAGATAATTGTTATAAAATCCTAAATTTTGATTGGTTGGCCTGAAGCCTGGTTTTGCTGTGGGCCCTCCATATGCTTGTCAGTATGCGTAGCCGTTATACTTTATATTCAGTGTTGGCAAATAGTAGTCAGGGAATATATCACATGTTCATATATGTGTATGCTAAATTACTTTTAATTAAACAAGTTGTGTGCCTGCTCATGCGCTGGGAGTTTTTTTTATTGTATTGGCCAATCATTTTTTTAGATTAGATTAAGTAAATATATATATATGTATATATATTTTCAATTTGTTCAAACTTTTTTGTTAAAATCTGAATTGGTTAGCTTGTTAAGGAAACTTCCAAAGATTTCGGTTATAATTAATAAGCTTGTGAGAGTTTACTAATTTCCTTCTAAGTTTCTGATCTGGCCAATCAGAATACAAGATTAGATATAATGTGAAGATCAAAACAACAATCGTTTTTTTTCGAAAAGTCAAATTTATTTCAAAATTTCGTCTAAGAAATCACCTTTTGGGCATTAACAAAAAAAATTCCTTGCAAAATTTGAGTGTAAGATTGTCTACTAACACTAGCCCCAAGCCCTAACTAAGATGTAACATTTTAAATAGAAAGTGATATGTAAATTGGTGCAAATCCCAGCCAATAGAAACTTGGGGAAATTGGTAAATGCTTCAAATCTATGCATGTTTCGCATCATTCTTCAATTTATTTCAATTATTAATTTCCTTATTTCATTTTTTAAATTAGAAAATGGTATAAGCCATTTTGTAACAAAATAATTATAACAATTTGATTAAATATATGTTTCACATACGTGTGTTCAATAAAGTATAAGTATAGCAAATTTTTTGATAGTTGCTTAATTATAATTTGTAGCAATTTTCTTAGAAGAAATATCCATTCTATTATAGTTGGATATTTTTGAATATTTTATATAATACCATTGCATTGCATGTGGCACCCATGATAGCAAGTATGAGTAAAGTATTTGTAGCTATTGTCGCTCTATTTGGTAGACCGGCACCCAATAAATTACTAACACTGTTTGAAGCTGCTACAGCTAAACTATGTGATATCTGATATAATATCAGTGCAATTGTAAGAATTAATCGATGACTTGCTAAAGATACAATTCCAAAATAACCCCCTAGTAATGCAAGTTTCATGAATATTGACCAATCTTTGAAGCTTAAATGTGACATCCTCCCCAAGTATCATATCCATCAATGTATTTTATATAAAGGAAAGTGAGAAATAACATCAACCAATTTGTTAATATTGTAGCAATTGGTGTACCAATGTAACCAAGTAAGAATGGCTCCCAAATAAGAACACAATTAAGAAATATTTATTAGACAATATAATACAAAAACATATGTTGTGCTTTCAGCCTAATAACAAAAGAAAATTGAATTATAAAATATAAATTTATGAATTATTATTAAAAAAATTTTTTTTTTACTTTGACCCTGCAAAAACTTTTCTAAGCACCAAAAAATAAGAGCTGGTGGTGCATAATGTGATAATTCTGCATCTTGTCCCAAATCAATCCAAATATTTTCAGATACCAGCCAAATAATTTCTATAGGTATGAATCCAAGCATCATTATTATAATTGGTAGTTGTGTGTAAATACCAGCTATTTTCGGGTTTCCTGATGTATAGCCCTGTAGACAAAGTATATCCAATACTGCTATTGCCCCAAATTCTATTGACCAACAAGTAACTGCAGCAAACTAACAAATTATTAATATGACATGTATGATTTTAATTTACCATAGTTTCTAAAATAAGCCAGCTAATTCTGCCTGCCTTTTTGTAGTTTTAAGGCAAGATTGCATTATAATTAATATTATAATCACTATATTCGGCTTTTTTTATTATTTTTATTAAATCTTACCAGATATCCTATAAAAAATACATTGGTAACTTGTAAAACTTGTAGAAACAAAAATGCCCAAAGGGCATGAAATGCTTTTTTGAGAAGATAAATTGCTTCATGAGTGCTAAAAGTTTTTATTTCAATTATATCATTCAGTTGAATACTGGGGCCAACGTATTAATATTTTAAGTTAAAAGTGTTTTAAATATTATAAACTAAAAGTCTTTAATATTATGAACTTGACATGTTGTAGTTCATTTGCAGTAAAGGTCCGAACTTTTTTTTGATATAATTAGATGCTCATCATAGAAATCTCTGTTCTTCAACTCTGCTTGCTTCTCATTGCTGATAGATAATTGTAACTTGTAAATCCATAAGTACTACGAAAAAAAAAGTATATTGTAAAAGGGCAATTAAGTTTAGGCTGTGTCAGAATAGTTACTGGGCCGATGTATAATAACTTACTACTCTAAAATATCAATACTAATTACACCACTTTAACCAGAACACTATAACTACTTTTACCAAACCTTAATATTGGTAAGGCAACAATTAAGGTGTGGAAAAACTTGGTTTGAGTAACCAAAGTTATTTGGATTGGTAGTGATAGTATTGAGCTTAGATAAGTGTGCTATAATCTTTCTTTAATAATGATTCTACTCTTTCTAGTACTTTCGTTAATACTTTAGATCCATCTTTTCATAGGTACTACAGCTAGATCCCATGATCAAAATTGGCCAATCAGAATTGTGGTACAAGGTCACAGTATCACAGGGTCATAGTTTAGGTAAAATCATGTTTATCACAAATTTAATTAGAGTTGACTTATATATATAAGGGGTTATATTACT